ACTGAGAATCAAACTGAGGATTCCATGCTTGCCAGGCAGGCACTGAATCACTGAGCTAAGTCCCTGGCCTGTTTTTTTTTTTTTTTTTTGTTTTTTTTGTTTTTTCTCCGGTACCGGGAACCGAACTCACAACCTTGCACTTGCCAGGCAGGCGCTTTGCCGCTGAGCTAAATCCCCAGCCCCATTTTTTTGTTTTGTTTTTTTTTTTTTTTTTGGCCTGGCCTGTAATTAACATTTTTTAATGCTTGATTTTAAGTGATCTTGATAAAAACAATAAAATTCTCAATTCTGCTAATATGCAAACTAGACATAAACATATAAACATTCTGAATAGTGGGAAACAATTTGTTATTTGCTAAAAGTATATTTACAAGAAAATCTCACTATACTTTATGATACACAGGTTTAAATACCAAATTTGAAAAATATTAATTCTTCTGAAGGTTAAGATATTTAGAATGTACCTTTCATTCTCACTGGAAAGTCACTTCATTTTACAGGGGAAATGTTTATGAAATTTGCAACATGAGGATTATCTGGCTCAAAAAAAAATCAAAATTTTTGTGTCTGCCTGAGCCAGACAGTTCAAATAAATATGCAAGGAAAAGCTGATGTATATAGGATATAAAGGAAACTGAAGACTGCTTGTCTCTGCTAAACAATCAAAAAGCAAAAGAAAAAATGTTAAATCACTACGTGCGCCAAAGAGTATCTGATAACCATATGCAGCATGCAAGCTGCCAGATTGTAGGTCTAGGAAAACAGTAACTAAGATAGATGTCAACCAAACATGTGATCCTAGCCAATAAAAGAATAAATCCTACCACTCACAGAGGAACTAGAATGCAATGACTTTTTTTCATGAACATGCTCCAGTTAGGAATCTTTCCTTACAAAATATAAGGCATGTTTGAGTATAACAGCAGCCCATGCAGTGCAGTCTGTTAATTATTAATACCGCCCATGTGGCCTTAAAAACTGGCTGCCTTGCACAGTGCCTGCCGGGCAAGCGTGAGGTTGTGAGTTCATTTCCTGGTACAAAGAAAAAAAACTGGCTCCCTCAATCCCAAGTGGGGAATGGAGAATCTTATTTGATGTTCTCCAGTGCTCGGAGGCACAGAAAGGTCTAGTCTCTCTCACTGGGTTTTCTTCAGAAGAGGCCAGGCCATTTGGGGCCCTAATGAGGTCTGAGTACAACAGATTGTGATATTAGGGGATCAGGACTGGCCTGTCATGAACACATTAATTTACAGAGAAGTGCCTGATGAAGTATATACCAAAATGGATGTGTAATTCATTCCAGGTATCATTAAAGGTAAAGGAAAAGAGGAAAAAGTAGGAGAAGTCAGAAAGAAACAGAGCAAGAGACCAACAGAAGAGAATTTGCCCAGACAGCCAGGACTTCACTGTCCTGAGGAACTGAAGTTACACATCGTTGTCTCAAAGCCCAGAGGAACATCCAGAGGTTCCAATAAGCTGTAGAAGACAAACTTCTGGGTGTTCTTTTGAGCTGACTACAGTGTGCAATGCTACAGACCTCCTTTCCTGCTAAGAGTTCAAGAAAAATTCGGAAGAAGGAGCCACTGTTCTGTCAATGAATCTAAAAATCTATATAGTGATATTTTTCCTTATGTAGATACCATCTGAAGTATTTGGGATTCTCTAAATGTACATATTAAATAATGACTTATTAAATACAATTCTTCACACAGTTTCCTTACGAGTCAGTTATTTAATATAACATGCACATATTGAAGACATGCCTGTTTCATAGTACGTTTATCTTCATATTTCTAAAATGCTCCAGCATACCGATTTCTTATTCTTTGCCAAAATAAACAAGATTTGAATCACTAACTGAATATTTATTTTTAGTTTGACCCTTTTGATACAGGTGAATTACCATCACCAATACCTCAGTAAAGTCTATGAATCCAGGTTATATACCAGTATATAATCACCACAGCATTAGGACAATAATAATTAGGATCTTTGAACAATTTATATTAAATACTGTGTTAAAGGCATTGTATGGGTTATTTCACCATTTCATTTAATGTTTTCTGAAATTTATGGGGTAGACACGTTACATTATCAACTTTCATTTGAATTAAACAGTGCTTTAACAAGTAACTTGCAAAAGACAATGAAGCTACTGAGTAATAAAATGGTAGCCCAAACCCCCAAGTCCCTCCTTGACTGCTTGTCTGTCCTTCTCTCTCCTTTTCTCACAATATATCCTCAGTGGTATATAAAACACAGAGGGAGTAGACTTCAATTTAGTAGTAAAGCATACTAAAGGATTCCTAGGCTTTATAGAAGTAGAACTTATCTTCAAGGAAAATGATACAATCTATATATTTTAATAATTGTACAGTTCTCTTGCTATAAAGTCTGTAAGCCTATTCATACACTTTAAAAGGTAAGAAATATTCTATGGTGAATTTTCATCTATTGAGACACTTTTATTTGAAGGAAAATGCAAGCAGAATCCTACCATCTATGGAAGATATAGATGAAGGAGATTTAAAATTTTAAGAAAATTCTATCACACATGGTTCTTTTTAAAGAAATATGGAAATACAAATTATTAATATCATAGCTTTTTCTATGGCCAAGTATAAAATTTCACCTATATGGAAGATCCCAGCCCAAAGTGGAACAGATTGGTCTTTTTATATAATATAAACAATAACATATATGGATACCATTTCAGCTAACCTATAGTCCCAACTGGAAGTTGATAGATGATTTGTACAGGTCACACCCTAGTTTACCCAACTGACCCAAGCTAGTCATGCCAGTTTACCTACTCAAATGCTTCAGGAAACACATTTAAAAACCCAGATATAATTCCTATGTACATTTAACTTTAGTAATTTTATTAACAATTGCTTTAATACATCTTTCAGTAATGAAATTTGTTATCATTTCTTTAAGTGAGATTTTGAAACTTTGTATTAGAATCAAATCAATGCTTCTTTTGAAATAAAAAATGCTTAAGTGATTTTTGAAGACAGATATTATTAGACAATGTAAATTCTACATAATAGTTTAGCAAGACATCAAGTCAACATTCTATGACAGTCCTCCTCTGTAAGAATGAATGTAAGTCCTCCTCTGTAAGTATTGAATGCCAAAAAACACTGTTAAAATTTGTTTTACTATGATTCTGAAGCCAGTGATGAACAAGTGTCAATCTAAATCTAAATGTACTGAAAATATTGTGTTCACTAAGTTATACTCTGTTAAAACTTAATCTCTTGTTTCTTTTTTCCAGAATCAGTTAAAGATCTAAAATCCCAATTTTTATAACAGAAAGGGTACACAACCAAAATAACTTCTCTTCCCTTAAAAGAGAACAATGTTTATATTCTTATTGGATTATTTTATTTTAATTTATTATATGTGGGATCGGAACCATGGCCTCACAATGCTAGGTAGGCACTTTAACCTAGTAAATATTAAATCAATAATATAAGTAAATATTAAATCAATGTTGGAGCTGTATGCTCACTTGAAAATATTTTACTATCTTGGAACATAAATATATAGACTTGTACGTGAATGCTTGACCTTCATAGCAGAATCAGTGAAAACTTGGAGGGAGGGACGTTTAAACATATTGTTTGATAAGAACTTTATAAATGATGTTAAGCAACATATTATGATAATAATCTTTATTATCAGTTGCAAGTTAGTTTTTTAGCATTCATTCAGAGTAAATATCTTCATCTAAACAAAAGTAGTTTAATGTGTTTTCTACATTAAATATTTATTTTATATTTCAGATTGCTTTGTATTACAGTGATTGTTTTGCTTAAATATTTAGCTTATTCTAAATTATCTCTATTTAAGTTATAATGTTGTATGTCAATTTTTATTATAAAGCATACTTGTAGAATAGTTTTGTAAAAGAAAATGTATTATTTTAATGTCAAAAGGAATTAAATATTTAATCATTTTAATTTACACAATGCATACTCCAAGTAACTAGTTATCAATACTTTTCACATTCTGTCAAGTATAGGAAACACTTCCCTGCAGTGTAAGTACCACAAAGCCTATAAAAGAAAGCACATTAATTAAAGCAACATTATGCTTCTGCAAGAAAAATAAATGGAATTGTGTGACTTTGAGGTATAGTGACTTCACAGAATATATTTTCAGAAAACAATTCTTCTGTATAGTTGACATGAAATATTTTTAAATATTTCGTGTCAATTATACAGAAAAATATTTAAGCAAATGATTTAAAATACAATTTACAAAGATATGCAATAAGTAGCTAACATAATATCAACACTCCCAACACCTGAAAACCGAACTATACTGAAAACTACAATATGCAATTTAAATGTTAAATCAACTTTTACTAAGTTCATCTATTTGGGAATCAAATATTTTAAATAAAATTCTGTTTCATTTCAAAATCAGTTTTCAAAGGAATAAAATATCCCAAGGTACCTCATCAAACTAGTTACTGCAATATCATAACAATTTTTAACTCAGATACTTTGAAGAATGTTTGGTGTTCAGAAACTAAAAAATCTTCAATGAATCTTCATATTCGAGCCATTTGATAACTACAGATGTAGTTATATATGTAACCAAAAAGAAAATTGTGGCACAGTAGTACTAAATGACAAAAGCTACAGTTAAGGAAAATAAAATTAATCCTCTTACTATGGACATAACATGGACACACACGTAAATAAAAACAAACCAACTAAGCAAACCAAGGAAGTAGTAAGCTCCAGAGATGTGACCACCTATCTGGACTGACACTCTAAGGTAAAGGCCATACTAATACCAGAGCCTTAGACAGGATTTAGCCATAGTAAGAAAGGAATCTCCTACCACTACTCTTGTGCCCATAAAAAGCTACTATGATCACTTTTAAACAAAGATACAGACAGAATAAAGGAATCACCGCCCCAGACAGTGAAATGGCATGCACCAATAACATCTGAACATTTTCATCGCAGCTCAAGGCTTACCTCATAAGACCAGACACACTGAGTCCCACCAAAACGGCGGACGCATCTTCCCACTTCCACATCCTCGTGAGTTGTGTACATTTCTCGGAGGCATTTGCCGATATGTGGCACCATTCTTCTGAGAACTTCTCGACTGAAGATCATGCCAGGTCCCCCCATACAGAAGTTCTCCCCAGGCTCCAGTCCTAGCTTCCCAAGTTCTTCAATGTTCCCCAGGCCAGTCTGCCCCAGGTACAGAGGCTTGCTGCTATTGAGGGATCTAAGAAACTCCTCTAACTTATCACCTACAAAGAGAAAGGCAACAACCATCAGTACTTTTATTTCATAATCATTTAAAATGTACATGGTAGAAGCTAGAACTTCAAACTGTCATTAAGTTCATTGTACACTTCATACAACTGCAAAAATGAGAAACTATTCTATTATGGTAAAAGCATTAAGTTGTTAATTAAATCTTAATAAAATTTTATCCACTTTTGGTCAAGTTCAGTGTATACTGTAGCAAATCTAACAATCATGTTTTTCGGTAAAAGATGAAATAATGTTAAGAGGAAAAAGATAGGTTTTCACATTTGCAATAAAAAAATTCCAAAAGTATAAAATGATAGTAAATATTGACATTTAGTGTGGTTTTGACAGATATTGATGTCTAATAATTAAATTTTTCTGGATAATGGAGTCATTTCAATATTTTGTCATCAACTAAAATAAAATTACATGTGACCCATACACTTTTAGGGAATGCCTGAATGAATTTTATCTTGAAATGTAACTTGGGAAGGTATCATTTCAGAAAAAAATAAAGATTTATTAGAAACTAAATAGTGTGAGTAGCACCACCTATAGTTAGCAAGTTCATCAGGAAAAACAATTTTATAATAAAATTTTGTAGTTAAGACACCTCAGAAGCATTTGTGTTCTATACAGTGATGTGTCAGAATGAGGAGAGTCACCTTCACATCTCCAGGCAGCATCTTGCCTGTCATTTCTGACGAGCAGGGCATCTGCATTCACTATCTTGACCCCATGTCTCCCACCTGGATCTCAGTGAGTTTCACTGCGTTTTATTCGGTTCTTAAAGCAAAACTGCATTTCATTCTTAATAGAAATGGGAAGGATATGGCATTTCAAGGTTCTGAAGGATAATCTTCCAAAGCGTGAAAACAAACAGCCTGAGCAGGTGTCGCTGGTGCATTCTAAAAATTCTCTGCAAAATATAACACTTCTGCCAGGAAACCTCTGATTTTACTGAGAAATGTAGGAAAAGGGGTTTATTTCCCAGTAGTGTAACTACCACCAGCTTAAAAAAAGAAAGTAAAATGAATGCAAAGTGACATAACACTTTTGAAAGAAGCATTTTTCTCTGAATCAATCCTAATAACATGTTTCGGAAATGCGATCATAAGAGAACATGCTTTGTTTTTGTGTCCAGTTATCAATAGTTCCCATCCCTACAAGGACTACAGCGATTTTCCTCCTCCCAACACAAAAAGAAGAAATCTCTATTTATTAAAACTCTATTAGCAACTTGCGCCAAAACGGGCCCAGTGTGTTGCCCGTTTGTCCTCGCACTACGAGAAAGACGCCACCTGGATCATGAGGAAACCATGCGACTACGAGGAGAGGCACAAGCTAAGGAAGGGCTGCCCTCCTCTCGACCAAGAAGTTCGGGAATGTGGACAGCACAGCAGAACCTCTCTTCTGTACAACCCTGTTTGTTCTTAGCATCCCTCTCCATCTCAGCAGCTGTTTGGACTGGAAGGATTTACTGTTTTCTCTAAGGAACTTCTATCCGCTGAGTTTAGAAATTCTCCTGCCAGAGCTGCCCATCCTCTGGGTAAAGGGCCGCGCCTCCTTTAAAACTGACAAAGTTTTCTCTAGCTGTGGCTCAGTGTCGTTCTGGGAAGGACTCCCCGCCTCTGCTTGTCGCTGCTAGAGCCACCAAGATACACCAGAGAAGATCCATACTAGTGTGTGCTCCTACAGCTTGGAGCTCCCAGGGTCTCCATAATTGGAAGGGGCTCTTCCCTTCTCTTCTCTCTAACAAGGCACGCATCCCCTCAGGGTTTTACTGAGGTGTGGCAGGGCCAGAGGACGGCTCTATGCTGCACCGCGGTGGTTGGGAGGAGCAGCGCGCTGGAGCAGCTGAGGGTGCTCAAGGATTCCGCGTGTGACAAGTTAGGCAGAAGGAAGGGCCATGGACAGGGAAGGGTCTGGGACAGAGAAAATACTCCTCAGTCTCAACAGTTTCGAAACGGTGGTAGATCAGCTCAAACAAAAGACCATGGGAATAAAGCCTGAACACCCCAGACTGGCTCCAGCCAGCATCCTGCTGCTCGGCTCCCTCCACCGAGGACACGCCCCTCTGGACCGCTAGAAGAAACTACCGCTACCCGGGCCTTTCGGAGGAGGACAGAGCCGGAATGGGGTTTGGTTTAGCTCTAAGATCCTTTTCCTCACCTATCCCACAGTGTAAAGAGCGGGGACACGCTCTGGGCGGAAAGGGGGACAGAGTGAGCACGGTGATGAAAGCTGGGCAGGCATGCGGAGGTCCAGACTGCAGGAGCTGCCGGCTGGCGAAACCCCGCGCGCGGAGGCGAGGCGAGGGGTGGGGCGGGCCGGGCGCGGGAGAGCACGTGCGGGCGGAGAAGCCGCGGAGGGGCTGGGCAGGGCTGGGCAGGGGCTGAGGCTGGATGCCGAAAAAGGACTGGGGAGGTGGGCAGGTGGGACCGCGGGCGCTGGGAGGTCACCTTTGATGTAGACGTCGTCGTCGGCGCGCATGAACCACTCGTACTTGTCCAGGTAATGGTCGTGCATGTACTTGATCATCATGAAGGACTTTTTCTGGGGAGGGTAGGAGTCATCCACCCCGGGCAGTGCGATGACAGGCAGGGGCGGCGGGGACTGGCCGAGCCCGGCGCTGGGGGGCTGCTCACTGGAAAAGAACTCCACGCGGCCGGGAATGAATCGCGCCCAGGTCCGCTGCGCCGCCAGCGCGCGGCTGCCCAGGTACTTCTGCGCGGTCATCACCCCCACGTACAGGAAGTCGCGGGGTCGGGCGCTCGCGGCGGTGGCGCCCCCGTCCCCGCTGCCGTTGTGGCTGCTCCCGGGCCGGCTCCCTCTTCGCGGGCCGGCC